CCGGAGTGGCGGCGTGCCTGTGAGCAGCGACTCCCCCTGGCCCTGCCTGCTGGGTGTCCCAGCAGCATCGGCCCTCCTCGCCCTGCTCAGAGCCAGCCTAGGCTGCCAGTCGGGTAGACTCCACCCAGCCCTCTGCAGCTGCAGGCACCACACGGACAGGTCGTGTCCCGGGCACAGCAGGGGTCAGAAGGGGCTCGTGGTAAGGGTAGAAGTAGGGGGCTGCGTCCTAGGAGGCAGATTACGCAGCCACACTCTGCCCCCACTAGGGCTACAGTTGGTCCCCCCGACAGGTCGTGTCCCGGGCACAGCAGGGGTCAGAAGGGGCTCGTGGTAAGGGTAGAAGTAGGGGGCTGCGTCCTAGGAGGCAGATTACGCAGCCACACTCTGCCCCCACTAGGGCTACAGTTGGTCCCCCCAAGGGCAGTCCTTCCATTGACCAATGGGCTGAAGAATCGCAACTGCAGGCCTCAGCACAGTACTCCTGGGTCTCCCGTGGCTGACTGCACTGCAGCCTCCTCCTGCACCCCATCCAGCTGTAGGGTGCAGGCCAGGCGGAGTAACGGAAGGGGGAGATCACGGGGAATAAAGGCCGCACTGGGCAACGTTCTGGCAAATTCCCCGCAGTGAGATCCATCCTCCCTCCCTCCCTCCCTCCTTGAGGATACCCGCATCAGCTCTATGTCTTGGTCTACACTGACGCAGAGCACTGCTGGGGCCGTTTGAAACAGCTGCCGTGCTCCACACCAGAGCTGGTTGCACTTCAGGGACTGGGGGAAATGAGCCTTGCCTTTTTAAAGGGGTCTGGGCTCCTGCAAGGCGAGTGGCACCATGCCGCTGTCAATTTCACGGGCTTATGCCTTCTTCCTGAGGGCAGGTCCCTGGGAGAGGTGTTCAGCTCTGACTCAGGGGCCCTGCTGTCTCGCTGCAGGCATGGGGGAAAGGCAAGGGAGTATTGCCTGGAGTGGGGCACTGAAAACCCGACTGGCAGCTGGCCCTCAGGTCACATCAGCACTGAGCCTGGTGTAAGAGGGGGACACGTGGCAGCAAGTGGAAATTGCATGGGGAGCAGGAGGTCCAGATGGGCAGGGTGAGGGGTGGGATCAGTTTGCTTCCCGCCCACTGTAGCCTGACAGGCAGGCATCCCAATGGTTGCACCTTTAGGTGGCTTTGCCTGTTTCTCCTGACCAGTGCAAAGCATCCTGGGAGCTCAGTGGGGGTGGAGGAAACAGGCTCCGGAGTGTTGGGATCCATCCAGGGTGCAGGGCAGACAAGGACACATGCAGCAGACCAGCTGTGATATTTTTGCTTGGGGCAGAGGGAGAGAAGTCACCCCCCCCCCCCCGCGACACAGCACTGCACCGA